TAATTTTATTTATTTTTTTTTGCTATACTGAGTATTGAACTCAGGGACTGGTGCATGCTAGACAAGTGCTCTGAGCTACAACCCCAAGCCCCCAAAATATTTTCCAAATAACAAAATCTTAAATATGTATCTAGTCTCATACTTCTGATTTATTTAGAAATGTTTCATGAAAAAATCTGAGTACAGTTCATCATCATGGTAACAATTATAATTGTACAACCCATCAGTTTTTATGTCACTAAAAGTGGCAAAAGACAAAAAGTTCCTCTTTCCTAATGTGACAGCAGACTAGAAACTGTAGACCATATTTTTCAGGAGATGGTAAGCCACTAAAAATTCCTCAGTAGAGGAATTAGACTCATCTCAATGTTCAGGGAAACTATTTTGACAATAATGTGAAAAATGATATTTTTTTCTGGGTATAAATAAAGCGCTCATTTCTTTAGCATACGCTTATTTAGCTGCAGTTTTAGAACACCCTATCTACAAGGGCACACATGTACAAGTTTTTAATGATGGTAATAAAATTATGATGAACACTATGCTTATTTTTTATATGACTAATCATACCTGTAAAATAGCTGTCATGTGGAAGGATAACCATTTCAGAAAATGACACTGAAAAGTCCAATTTCGAATGTTAGTGTCAAGAATTAGGCCCTCCCATAGAGAAGTTGCTTACTGACATTTACTTCTAGATATAGTAAAACTTAAATCCAAGGCAAATATAATGATCCTCATTCTATATAGGAAAATCTCAAGGTTCAGAATTGAGGGAGCAATCTGACTGTCATGCAGACAAGAGTTATATAACTTGAATTTGTTACTTTACTTTCAATACCAGAACCTGCATGCATGTTTGCTTTGCTTTATCGCTAGATATTAAAATACAGCAGTGATGAGAATTTAGTGACCCATAGTAGAGTTTAAATTGATTGTTTAACCATTAATAGCTTGTCAATCTTTTTAAGGGTCCACACTTCACGTTCTCTCTACTAGCCACACCATTACAGGCAGCTAATGAAATGTGTGGGGAGAGTGGGCAGATGGTTGAAGCTGATGGAGCTGCTACAGGCTGCTTTCACTGATGACAGGAGGTGGGTGCTGTATCAGCTTAAATGGTCTCAACCAACTGGAAAAAGACCCTGGGGAGAGATAACCACAAACTAACCATAAGGGGATTTTCCATTCAGTAGAATGTGCACCTTAACTGCCCAGAGATCCTTGGGGTAACCAGTCCTCATTATTACCTGCTTAAGGCTCCAGAAAAAGGGGGAAAATCACGCATACTTCAAAACTAAAAGCAGTGCAGGAGTAAATCATGAATATGTAAGAACAGGATAAGGAATAAACAAAGTCAAAAAGTATAGCAAAATGAAACCAAAACAAAGAAACTACTGTTGCCCACATTCTGGGGAGTCCTGGCTTGTTTGTGAGCCATCTCCTGCTTTGCAATAAACTCTTTTCACTTCAAAACCACTTCCTCACTTGCCAGGGATCTATAAGCTGAATTCTCCAGTCACCAAAATCCAGGAAATTGAACGGTGAGATAATATAACTTTATAACAGAATTCTTCACTTTTCTGAATCTCAAGATTTCTCCACCTGAAATAAAAGGATAATACCACTGCTATGATTTCTAGAATGTTTTTTAGGGATTGAATTCAAAACCTTGAGCTTCCCAGGCAATCACTCAACTGAGCTATCTCCCTGTCCTGATTTTTTTTTAAGGGAAGGGTCTACAGGGTGTTCAGGGTCTCACTACTAGAATGGACTCAGAGTGATCTGCCTGTTTACAACCTCACAAGAGCTGGGATTACAGGTGTGCACCACCACGCCAGTCTCAATTGCCATCTCAGTGACCCCGGAGGTGGGGAAGTGGGCAGCACAGCAGGCCTGGGGAACTGCTTGAAGGCACTTTAATCTGCTGAGCTATTTGCCTGGCCCACCACTGCTCTGATTTCAATATGGTATATTCCCTCTGAAACCAATATTGTAACTTAATTCTCATCATAAGTGAAAACCATAAGTGATGATTAGGGCTGTGCATTCACACATCGATTCCATCAACCCATGGGATTAATGAGTTTTCTTGAGAGTAGGTCTGGTATGAAAGCCACCTTGACTAAATCTCTACTGTGCCCCACGTTTCTTGCCATGTGATGCCCTAAATAGCTCTGGGACTCTGCCAGCATGAAGGCTTCACCCGATAATGCCTCTGGAGCTTGGCACACAAGCATAGACCAAAAAAACCTTTCTTTATGGCTGACCAAATCTATGTATTGTGTTATTTAGCAACAAAATACATATTGAGTCAATACCAACTTCGGAAGATTTTCCTAACATTTAAGGTTTACGTGTATAAAACACCATGTACATTCCCTGACGCAGTGAACTTAAAGGTCAGTACTTAGTCTCAGCTTCAAACATTATTTCATAAATTGCATAACAACCCTGCAACTAGTAATTTTTAAATCCCTCTTATTCCTCAAAACAATAAGCAAAATGCAACTATAATGTACTGAGCTAATGAACTTCTCAAAAGCAACAGGGATAAAATACATGAGGTCTTGTCTCCTAGACAAAACTTTTAGGTGTCCAAATGGAATGACATTCACCTAAACAATACTGAATGTTAATTATGTAACAAAATTTCTCTCCAAAACATAAATACATTTACTTACAAACTATATATAAAGATAAATACTCTTTACCATAATTTTAAAGTTCTTCATATATAATGACATACTTGGTTGACTGCCTTTGCAAACTGCAAGCAATTTGTAGAAAATGGTAATACTATACATGCAAGTCTCTGGAAGGTTTTCTCTGTGAGTATGAAATATAATTTAGCTTTAGTATATTATGAGCATTCAAAAATATCGAAAAATTATAGCAAGAGTCAGGAAAAGCTATTTTTTTCACTTAAGTGGTATTAAATAATTTTTGTACTGTTATCAGGAAAAAACAAAAGTTGTGTGACCACAGCACCAGGTAGAATTCTAATGAAATTTTCAGTCATTAAGCAGTATATCTTTAAGAATCAGGGAGAAAAAAAAAATGCTTTCTGCCTGATAACCAGTTAGGAAGAAACTTGAAAAAGCTCTGAACAGTTTAACACATTTGCTACTTCCCTGTAGGACAGTTGTTATACCAAAAAAGAACACAAGGAATGAGAAAGACATGGAGTGTTTTTTTTTTTCTAGAATTTAATATCTTAGAAAACAAAGGTATAAAAGTTAACAAAAATTTAAAGATTCATCTGGGGGGTAAATATAGGGACTAACGATCTTTCCTCTTAATTGATATAAGGTAAAAAGTAAAACGTATTTTTAAAAAAACCCATCAGCTACAGTTGTTTACTATAATGCCAAACTACAAAAAAAGTAGGACAAAGCTAATTAACTGAGCAAACACACATCCACACATCATGACCTTAGCAACGAATTTCAAAATACGTACAGTTCTGAAGGTCCAAAGTGAGGCTCATCTTGCCCGCTTAGATTCTACTTCTTCAAGAATCCACTCAATGCCATTCAGAAAGCCAGTGAGAGTATCAGCTTCCATATCCTGGACCTATGGATACATTTTAAAAATGTCAATAAGAAATTGACACCTAAATGTTATGACTGGAAGGGACATTTTCTAGATATTAAAATATTAAATAGCTATTGTATAATGGAAATACAACAGAAAATAAACACATATGACAACAAATTAGAAAACCTGGAAGAAATGGAAAAACTTCTGGACACATGTAACCTACACAAATTGAACCAAGAAGATACAGAAAACCTAAACAGATAGAGAGACTGAATCAGCACAAAAAGTTTCTCAACAGGGCCAGGGATATAGTTCAGTGGCACAAGCACCTGCCTGGCAAGCACAAGGTCCTGAGTTCAATTCCTGGTACAAAAAAATAGTTTCTCAACAAAGGACAGGCCAGTGTTAGACAGCATCACTGTTAAATACTACAAAATTTCAAAGAAAGAATTAATACCAACCCTCTCCAAACTGTTACAAAATATTACAAAGTGAGCTCTTCCAAAGTCTACAAGGCCAGCACTGCCCTAATATTAAACTATATATGGACATAATATAAAAAGGTAATTACAGACTAGTATTTCTAATGAGCAAAGATACAAAAATTTCCAGTAAAATACTAGCAAACTGAATCCAATAAAACATTAAAATTATCAATCATTCTGATTAAGCGAGATTTATCCTAGGAATACAAGGACGGTTCAAAGTACTCTGATTAATGAACACATCATATCAACATAATTAAAGATAAAGCTATATGAGTGGTTCATTAGATGTGAAAATCATTCAGTAAAATTCAACATTACTTCATGATAAAAACTCAAGACAGCGATTTAGGGAACATAAATCAACATAACAAACGCTATTCATATAACAAACCTACAGTCAACAACATACTAAGTAGCAAAAAGCTTCGCTTTCTTGGTTTATTTTTTGGTCAAAAGTTTTTATAAACAAACATTTACTTGAGAGACAGTATGGCAGTAATTGGTATGACATGACAAGCAGTACATATTTAGAAGACCAGAATGACAGGCATTCTAAGCATGACCCATTACACATTGCTATCTTCAGTGCAGTTGCTTAGTTCACAGGTATCAGCACACATAGTTAGTCAGGGTGAGAATCCTACCAATTAACTGCTAGTTTCAAAAACATGCTGAAGATTCTCAGGATCATTGCCTTAACCATCTTGTGCATATAAATGTATGGTGCTGCCCCTGTCATGTTTCCTAGCTTTTCTCCTTGCCCTCTCTTTGTTGGTCAAACTTTAAGATGAATTTTATTTACAAAACAGTTTCTTTTGTTTTATAAAATTATAAAACATGACTCTTAACAAGGAGACACAACTTCTCAGACTCTTAAGCTACCAAAGGCTTAAACTCATTTTTCCCTTTTTCTGTAATAGCAACTTATGGGTGCTGTGTCTTCTCTCAAAATAACACAGTGACCAATTGCCTCTGACACGAAGATGTCCACTCAGGTCAGAATGTGAAGCAGCAAAGTCTTCTCACTAATCCAGGACCCATGCAGCACCAAGATCAGTTGCTTGCCAAAGCGGGGGACCTGGCACTCTGTGGCCATGCAGAAGTCCTCCATCCCACCTTCAGTGATGCCTCTTGGTTGGCACTCTTTGACTGGGTAGAGTCAAAGTTACTTTTGTAGTTGTTCAGACAAAATACCTGACATTCAAAGGAAAGGTTTATTTCAGATCACATCTTGTAGAAATTTCAGTCCATAATCAGCTGGCTCCAACACAGGAAGGCATAGCACAGTGTATCGCAGGAGAGAAACAGTTCATGGCAGACAGAAAGTAGCAAAAGCAGCAAGCATCAAGGAATGACAGCAGTCTTCTTCAGGTCCTTTGTATTCTATCCAGGACACATGCCCTTAAGCAGGTAGCACTTATACACAGGGTGGGCTTTCTCATTATCCACACCAAGAAATATGCAATCCAATCAGTGGACTGATTCAGTGATCACATGCCCTTAATCCCAGCTTCAGACACTCTAAACCCACCCAATTCTGAAAAATCCAACTATGACCACATGAGCTTTTGGGGGAAATATCCAGGCCCAAGCTGTAACAGAGAACACTTAACAGATGACTCTTCCTACCTTCCTAAATTTGAAAGTAGACAAAGTCCTCCAAAATATCAATGTTCATAATATAATTGGAAAAACTCTCATGCTTAGAAGTTCCTTGTGGCAAACCTTACTGACAGTTTTCAAGAAAAGATTCTCACTCATGGTTACTTTTGCTGAAGTATAATGATAATAAGCATGCCCTGGTGCCCTCTCATTACTATTGTCAGTGAAAACTCTGAGCTTAACATAGGCTAACATCGAAAGCAAGTCATATGAACTAATAGCTTTACTCATACAGGGCAGAAGGTTCAGACTGAAACATTTTTGAAAGTTGGGCTTTACTTTTGAGGGTTCTCTCTGGGATTTGCCTCCCTTTTGAATGGGTAATCACAAATTGCACATCAGGTGAAGGATGTTTTTACACGTCATCCTGTATTTCACCCAGAGCAAAGTGAGTACCCTCTACTGCTCCAACATCCTGATATCTATAGCTCAGAAAGTGATGCTGGAGAGCTGCCAAATGATGCATAACCCAGGTACCTGTGCTGATTTTCCACTTGATATAGTTTATGTAAAATAGAGTTGCTATGTTCAAGTATTTATATATTAAATTGGCAGGCAACTAAACATCATGTTCTTAATTATTAAAGCACATCAGTAACATCATATAACTCAGTTGTGTCCCAAATTTTCTGATCAAGGAGATTATGGAAACACAGAGGAATGTGATCGATGATGTATTGTGTGCCCAAGGAGAGTCACATGGAGAGAAAACATTCTCTCAGCCTTTTACAGAGAGCAAATTGGTCAAGCATTTGCCATGATTCATCTACATGGCTGACACTGACAAAGGATCTACAAAGTGCAATACAGGCTTACAGGATAAATCCTAAGGGGACTTGACTGAACTTATTAGACACAAAAGTTATATTTCTTATTATATAAGTCTTGCTTTATCTTGGTCTTAACCATCCAGCAGAAAAGTATAAAGACGAGATATATAAAGTAAAGCCATATTAATATGCTGAGCTGTAAAAGGCTCTAGTCAACAACTTCTGTGGACAACCCACTACTATTGTGGACTAGAGGTATATAAAGTAAAGCCATATTAATATGCTGAGCTGTAAAAGGTTCTAGTCAACAACTTCTGTGGACAACCCCCTATTATTGTGGACTACTGGACTGTGTTGGATTGTTTTGCTGAATTCAAGTACCTATAGTATGTCGATGCCAAAAGAATACCCATCGAGACCCAGTCCTAGCCCAGGTCCGGAATTTCTGCCGAGTTCCGGGAATGCCCAGTCCCAGTCCTAACCCTGGTCTGCAGCGGGAAGGAGCTGAGCACAGCAGCCAGAACTAAGCCATACACAGGGGGATAAGCACAAACTCTGTAGAGCTCCACCTGAACTTCAGTACGTGTGAAGGTTATAACTACAGCAAAGATCTACAACAAAGG